ATGGTCTGCTCCGATCTGAGACATTGTTTCGGCATCATCTCCCTGTTGTTCTCCGGATACACACTCTCCCTGGCAGGACGTGTATTTGAAGAACAGCGGGGAGGTGCTGCCGAAATTCTATCTCGAATAGGAGTAGAGCATGGAAACTAACCTCATCTATGGATCCTCGCGTGGGATTAGGACCTATCCTCACCTATTAGATAGTAGGAACGTCGTGTAGATGCAATTGATGTTTATATTACTCGCCGCTATATATGTTAGAGGATGGAGGACCGTGAGTGGATGTACACGGGCCACGCAAGTCAGGGTCAGGTCACCAATGAATGGATCGACAAGACCGATGCTTTCTTGGAACGGGCATTTGGCGTGGCTGCTAAAGGAGCGAGTAAAATTTGTTGTCCCTGCAGCAAATGTGCAAACAGGAAAAGACAAACGAAGAAGGTCATGGGGGAACATCTTTGGAAGAATGGATTTACGGCAGACTATACCCAGTGGGTCTACCATGGTGAAGCCGATCGTATGAGAGAGGAGGTGGTGAGACCACGCGTCGAGGATTATGATGCAAATGTCGGGGTAGCAGACATGTTAAATGACTATCACGAGGCACAGTTCGCTGAAGGACGTACGGAGGAAGAGCCAGAGGCAACCGCAAAGGCGTTCTATGACATGTTTGCTGCGGCATAGAAACCCCTTCACGGCCAGACAAAGGTTTCTCAACTGAATACCATTGGACGCATAATGGCGTTAAAGTCCTAGTATAGCCTGAGTCGAGATGCCTTCAATGGTATGTTGACAGTTATTGGCAGCCTGCTTCCGGAGGGTCACCTTCTACCAAAGAGCATACACGAGTCACAAAAACTCCTTCGTGCACTTAAGATGCCATATGAGCAGATACTGGTGAAAGAATACGTGGAAGCAAAATACTGTCAAAAGTATAAATCCTCTAGGTTCCTGGAGGTAGATTCTGGTGATGGCTAGAAGAGGCAGCTTGACATTCCCGTGACAATCCTATGGCACCTTCCGTTCATGCCGAGGATCCAACGGCTATATATGACCGAGGAATCCGTGAAACAGATGACATGGCACAAAAATGGCAAATGATACAATCCTGACGGATGATACAAGCATCCGATGGTAAAGCATGGACCCACTTTGATGGCATTCATCATGAGAAAGCTAAAGAGGCTCATAATGTACGTGTTGCGCTGGCAACAGATGGGTTCAATCCTTATGGAATGATGGCTGCCCCATACACATGTTGGCTCATGTTCGTTATCCCCCTCAATCTCGCCCCCCAGCGTATGCTTTCAACGACAGAACGTATTCTTGTCGTTGATAATTCCTGGACACCTAGGGAATAATATGGGTGTGTTCATGGAGGCTGTGATTGATGAATTGGTCCGTGCTTGGGAGGAAGGGGTATGGACATACGACCGAGCTACAAAGAAAAACTTCAAAATGCATGTTTGGTACCACTACTCCTTGCATGACTTCCTAGCGTATGGGATATTCTACACCTGGTGTGTTCACGGGAAGTTCCCATGCCCAGTATGCAAGGAAGGTCTAAGGTTCATTTGGTTGTAGAAGGGTGGCAAGTATTCATCGTTCAACAAACATCGGCAATTCCTCCCTCTTGACCATGCATTCAGATGAGACATCAAGAACTTTACGAAAGGTGTCATAGTGATAGACCTTGCACCACCGATAATGACTGGTGCCGTGGTTCATAAACAGATAGATGGTCTCGTGGTCAATCCAGAAGGTGGTTTTGTGGGATATGGAGAGCAACATATGTGGACTCATAAGTCGGGCTTGACTCGGCTCCCCTATTTTGATGGCCTTCTCCTTCCACACAACATTGATGTAATGCACACTGAAAAGAATGTCGCCGAGGCACTTTGGGCAACAATCATGGACATTCCTGACAAGTCAAAGGACAACGTTAAGGCTATAGTGGATCTGGCAACGTTAAGCGATAGACCAAACCAACATATGAAGCCTCCTAGTCATGGCAAGACATGGAGAACGCCAAAGGCCGATTTTGTCTTGAGCAAGCCCCAAAGGAGGGAAGTACTAGAATGGATCCAGACGTTAATGTTCCCTGATGGGTATGCAGCTAATCTGAGGAGGGGAGTGAACTTATCTACTATGCGAGTCTTAGGGATGAAGAGTCTTGACTACCAAATATGGATTGAGCGGCTTCTTCTGGCGATGGTTCGAGGCTATGTCCCTAAGCATGTCTAGCTAGTACTGGCAGAGTTGAGCTATTTCTTTCGCCAGCTTTGTGCCAAGGAGTTATCTCGGACCGTGATTGCTGACTTGGAAAGAATGGCACCTGTGTTGCTCTGTAAGTTGGAGAAGATCTTTCCACCCGGCTTCTTCAATCCGATGCAACATTTGATTTTGCACCTCCCGTATGAGGCATGAATGGGGGCCCGTGCAGGGCCGTTGGTGCTATCCAATCGAGAGATGTCTAAAGGTTCTTCGAAAGAAATGTAAAAATAAATGCAAAATCGAGACTTCCATTGCAGAGGCATACATTCGGAGGAGGTGGTGAACTTCACAACAACATACTATGGTGACAACCTCCCTAGCGTGCATAATCCACCCTCTCATTACAATGCTGGCGAAAATGAATCGAACCTCGGCCTTTTCCGAGGGCAACTCGGAAGCGCAAGTGCATCGACCCCCAAGACCTTGAATCATGAAGAGTGGCGCCATATCATGCTATACGTGTTGACCAACCTTGACGAAGTGGCGCCAGTACATGCGAAGAAGTTCTCAACGAACTTGTTAAATACGCCGTCACTATTCTCGCATCCAACCCCCTTGTTTCTCGTTGGTATAGGGAATTTCTTCATGAATTTCTGGCGGCCAATCAAGGGATCCTACCCGCAGCGGTAGATACCCTTCTTAGACACGGTGTGGGAAATGGAATGCCCGATTTCATTTCTTGGTTCAAACGGAAGGTACCGTTCAATTTAGCTCGTACTTAGTTTGACATTCCAAGTTACTCATAATGCGAATAATATAACGATGTATCCCGCTTGAGCTTGCGGGGCGAGGAGGATGCGTCTATGCGTGCCGAGTTGAGACAAAGTTGCCGATGGCTTTGCCTATAGGGTCAGGTCATTTTCCGGTTATGACGTGAATGGATATCGCTTTCGCACAACAAGCTACGAGCAGAGTCAGACCAATCGAAGAACCACAAGTTCTAGAGTTTTTACGCCCGGCGTTGATGAGGTCGAGTATTATGGAAGAATTAAAGAAATATACGAACTCAAGTTTCATGGTTCCAAACCTTTTAATCCCGTCATATTCAAATACCATTGGTTTGATCCTGAAGTAACGAGATGGACATATTCTAATCTTGGGCTAGTCGAAATTCGACAGGATTCTGTCTTACCAGGAGACGATGTCTATATTGTGGCCCAACAGGCCACGCAAGTTTATTATCTCCCATATGCGTGTCAAACCAAAAGTCATCTTAAGGGTTGGGATATTGTGCACAGGGTATCACCACACGGTAAAGTGCCTGTCCCAAACGATGAAGATTATAACTTAGACCCAAACACATATGACGGAGAGTTCTTTCAAGAAGAGGGACTAGAAGGGAGGTTTGAGATAGACTTAACCGAAGCGATCAGAATGGAAGTAGACAATGAAACGGTTATTGAAGAGGGCGCTAAAGATGAGGTGCAAAATGTGAAGGACTTACAAATGCTTGAGCGATTACATTTAGACAATGACAATAGCAACATTGCTCATTCAGATGGTGTTGATTATTTCGACATGATTGATAGTGATAATGAGACTTATGATCCAGCTAATCCCGATCATAAAGATTATTTCTAATACATGTACTACTATGTTATTTTGTAATTACGTTTTGTTTATTTTGCATCTCTTTCTAAGTACTTCTTGTTTATCTGTGCATATTGGTTTACTCTTTTTAATTACAGATAATTGAACAAAGATGGTGGGCGGTGGGATGAGGAAGCTAGGTGATGATACTTGTGGTTGTTAATAGTACTTCTATTTGTAATTGTGGTTGTAGATGATGAAGCACTTGGATTACTTGTGAACTTATTTGTGATATATTGTGAGACATGTGACGTTTGTGATATATATGTGGTGTTGGTGATATATATGTGTTTTTGATGATATATATGTGATGTTGATGATATTTGTTATATATATCTTCTGTTTGTTTGGATGGAATGTAAAAAACAAATAAAAAAGGCTGTTTTCAGTCACTTTACCGAGTGCAATGGCCATGACACTCGGCAAAGTGACAACCTGAGAATATGCATGGGAACATGCTTTGCTGAGTGCAAAGCCCATTGCACTCGACAAACATCATAGATTTACCGAGTGCCACGGGCCAGGCACTCGGTAAAGGTCGTCTGTTTGCCGAGTGTCTTGCCGGTGGCACTCGGCACAGTGGCCACCTTTGCTGAGTGTCTGAGTCAATGGCGCTCGGCAAAGAGACGACCTTTGCCGAGTGCTTGACCTTGACACTTAGCAAAGCCGCCGTCACGGTGGCGCTCGCCGTCATGGTGACTTTTCTTTACCAAGTGTCAGATTAGCACTCGGCAAAGGCTTTGCCGAGTGCCCGATAAAGTGCACTCGGCAAAGAGGTCTTTGCCGATAAACTGTTTACCGAGCGCCCTTTGCCGAGTGTATATCGGCCTTTGCCGAGTGCCTGAGGCACTCGGCAAAGAAGCTGAATCCGGTAGTGACTGGCAGTGAATATCGTATCACTGCCGGTTTTGAAGCATCTGGCAATAAGGTCAGTCTCAATGAGAATTTCATGGTCATTAAATAAATTGATATGATATAGTTTAAATGAAAAGAGATAGCAAAAAAATTTATAGAGATGAAACTTGTTTACACTTATTCCAACACATGTGAGTCTTGAAAACGGGGATATGTTGCGTTGAAGAAAACCATGGTTACTACTGGTAAATTGATAATAATCAACTGGATATTTCTTTTCTTTATACTGCATTATTATTGCTTCGTTTCCCATCTTCTTCTTGTTGATGAGGCATCAAGTCTGTGTACCCGATGCTCTTCCTTGTTGTCGGGAAGATCATGAACACCATGCTGGACAGGAACCCTAGTCCCACCGGAAGGTTCATGAGCACTTCCCTGGCGTCCGGCCTGATGTCCGGCAACAGGCAGCTCTGTATGCCGGCGTTGCCGAGGGCCACGACGACGAACAGGACCGCGGAGATGAGCGCGTGCACGAAGTCCAGCGCCTTGATCTTCATCCTGGGGATGTTGGCGAACCTGCGCCTCCGCTCGTCGCATGTGCCGTCGAAGTTGAACGGGTAGAAGCCCCGCGGCGTGGCCATGCCATAGTAGAGCCGGCCGTCGTGGCCCACCAGGCTGTCGGTGAAGGAGAGCAGCAAGCAGGAGGCAGCGCAATCGCCGATGAGCGTGAGGGTAAGGTACCGGCTGGCAGTGCCGCATACACCGTGGTTGCTGAAGGACGGCGCCAGCGCATGGAAGGCCATGACAGTGCCGGTCGGCAGGAGCTTGATGATGTCGCAGGCGCAGCACAGGGTTTTGTCGACCAACGGGGCAGGTGCCTTGGTGCTACCGCTGGCGCCATGTGGAAGTGTGGCATCAGCAGCTTCATGTCGTGGGTAGACGAGTCGTCGTCGACCATGTGAGTTTGGACGGAGCTTGATTTCATCTCGTTTTCCGAAGGTTGCACACTTACACCCTACGAGTATAGCTAGTGTAGGATGCTTGGGGATCGGAGATTACCAGCTCTGTGTATGTATCTTACACTTCACAGGTTCCAGGCACTTATATTGCATTGTTAGTTCTCAGTCATCATCGTCGTACTTACACGGGATTCAATATGATATTGATCACATCACATGGTGACAACTTGTGGTGCTTCGCATCCGTGCTTGGACAGGGAACTCGTGCAAGGTAGCTGTATTGCTTAAATAAAGTTGACAAGGACGAAAAATAGTGGTCCTGCGGAATCCTGGCTAGGTTTTTTTTTTTTTTTTGAGGAACACGATTTATTTATCACCTTCTTGTTGTAAGTCTTGGAAACACAAGTTTTGTCCTTCAAAGCTTTCATACTCTTGTCGGTCACCTCGTTGACATTGTCTATCATCAACTCGTGGTAAATAACATCAGACAAGTCATTCTATTTAGCCAATATGTATGCATCTAACTTTACCTCAGCTAGCAACACCACCTCATATCAATAAACCAGCTTGAAGGGAGTAACTTTGGTAACACCATGTCTAGATATGCGATGAGTCCATAAAGCATCAGACAAAGCCTTGTGTCACCTTTTTCGATTGTCCTCCATCTTGTTTTTCACAAGTTTGATTAAGATCTTGTTACTAGACTTGGCTTGACAATTGGCCTGAGCATAAATTTTGATGAATCAAGGAATTTGATTTTATAAGATTAATAAATTCATAAACCTCTTTTGACACAAAAGAAGAACCTTGATCCGTAGTTAAAGTTTGAAGTATGACAGATTTGTGAATATATGCTCAGTGATAAATTCAACTACTTCCTTATGTGTTATGTTTTAAAAGCATAACTTTGATCCACTTTATAAAGTAATATATAGGGCATGTTTGGATGTCACCCTCGCTTGGGGAGCGCGGCGCAGCAACTGTATCCGATTGTCGAACGCATTGATGCCTGGACCTGGCGCGTTTCCCAAGGTGGAAACCAAATAGGCCATAGCCACTGGCATAAAGATGTCCCTTGGAAGAAGGGTGATGAGTCTGCCAGATGAAATTTGATCCCCATCCTCGAAATGGCCATATGGCATGATGATATAATGCATCATTGTAGGGCCAGCCCTAGGGTGGCCAGCAGGCCAACCTCTCTAGGACCTCCAAAAGCCTAAGAACGCATGTAGGACCTTGGATTAGAAAGTTGGTGTTTATATACCTTAAAATTTTAGCGAAATTAACTTTAATTTGTTTGAAAAATACCTTAGTACAACAACCTTTGCTACTCTGTGTATATTAGTGGGGCAAGGTTAATATGTGGGACCCATATTAGGAACCAAAACTAGATATATATTGGAGAATGCTCTGTCAATCCCAAAATATTTAATGGGCATTGAACTTTTTAAGTTTCTCCCCAATGGATTTAGGCATTTTAAATCATATAGGATAAATATCTAAATCCAAATGAACCCTATCCAAAGATATCCAAAGCAACAAATGTCCAATTAAATTTTTTGAATGATTTGAATCCACTAACAGTAGCTCAAAACTCAGCTCCTCCGCCCCTAGGCCAAGTTCATCAAAAACACCGCCCGTTTGCATGCCTAGCTATACTTTTACACAACTCAACCAACCTACATTAATAGCAAATTAAACATTACCAATCACGCTATTGGACACACTAGATAAAGATGCACAATGGATGAGCAAAGCGAGTACCTCGCATGAACCCTCCCAACGTCTAAAATCTAGTGGAGAGAAAGTCAAAATTCACCGAAAAACGGGTTCATTCCATCTACGACAACATCGACGAGACATGAAATGGGTCATTAGTTTACGGCACATCTTATACGCACAACACATGTGTCCAACACACAACGCCATGAAGTAACCATGTGCAAATGTTGGGCAACACGTCTATCCTGAACTCCTTATATATATATACCCAAATGTTTTGCCGGATGTTGCATTTGGAAACTTGATTAGTGCATTTGAAAATTCAGAACACCTTCCTTGCTGTTGTTACTGATATCGAGAACCTAATGCGACAATGTCTTGTTTGGAATGGAGGAATGCAAAATAGAGGAAAGGAAGAAAGTGTAGGAATAGATTGTAAGTAGAAAACAGAGGATTGAAAAACACAAGAATTTTATTAGAATCGGTGTTTGGAACATAGGAATATAAGAACATCTTTATTCCTCTAGTGAATAAGGAATTGATCATCCCTCCATTCACATCTCCATTCACATGTAGGAAATTTTTCGAACAGCTTGAAATGGATGTTTTATTTCCTCCATTTTATGAAGGAAAGCAAGCATTTTCATAGGAAAGGAAACCTTCATTCCTCCATTCCAAACATCATGTGATATAAGCAAAACATAGGAATTGGATTTCCTTTGAAATTCCTATGGAAATCCTAAAATACAAACAAGCTCAAGGATGGGAATCGAATGCAAGAAGTTTCAAAAAATAATCTCAGCAACTGTTCACCTAGGCTTATGTGTCCTAACTCATTTTATCCAAAGAAGCTAGCTTTAAGTTTCTTATAAACGGTACCTAATTCCCAAATTCTTTCTTTTGGACCATCAACTACCAATGCAGAAAATGATAAGTACATGTGATTATCCTTAGAGCAACTCCATCAGGGCCTCTACTTGATCACCCATAGCTAAATATGGGTGCCCAGACTAAAAACTTTACTCCAGCAGAGCCTCTACTTGAGACGCGAAATTTCACTACTACAGAAACATTTTCCGCGGCGGGCGAATTTGCTTTTGCGCAGCGGGCAAACGCGTCCGCCAGCGTGGGAAGGTCACGATAAATCGTGGCCTTCCCGCGGCGGGCCGCTTTGCCCGCTGCGGTTAATCGATTTCCCGCGGCAGACACGTTAGGATGCCCGCCGCAGTTAAACGTTTCAAAAAAAACAAAAAAACCCAGGAACCCGCCGGCGAGCCCATTCTCGAGCCCACTGACGAGCCCATTCACAACCCAATACTGGCGCCACCGCACCTCGCTGGATCCGCCGCCGGGGTCTCCACCTTGTCGGATCTGCCACCGAGGAGGTCATCCTCGCAGGATCTGCACCATCACCGCAGGTTGGGGTCGTCTCGCCGTGGATCCATGTCGTCGCCGTGTGGATCCACATCGTGGGAGCAGGGAGTAGACACGGCCGCCCTGGAATCACCGCCGTGTGGATCCACGTCGCAGGGAGTCGACGCGGCCGCCTAGATCCTCAGCCGTGTGGTCCCTGCGCGCCATGCAGCTCCTCGCCTATGAGAGAGAGATATGAGGGAGGTACTGAGAGGAGAGAGAGGGTGGGAGAGAGAGGGAGAGAGAGATACCGGGCACGGCGACGCTCTCCTCGCCAGATCCGGCCACGGTCCTGGACCCGCGTGGTGGCGCACGCGACGGAGAGGTGGTGGCGCGCGCGACCTTGCTCGATGCTACGCCGTGGAGAGGCCTTCACACGCCAGCGGCGCGCGCGACGGAGAGGTGGTGGCGCGCGCGACCTCGCTTGTCCCTGCGCTGCAGAGAGGCCTTCACACGCTGGCGAGGGAGAGAGAGAGGGAGTGGGAGAGGGAGAGAGAGAGATAGAGGGAGTGGGAGAGGCCTTCACGCTGGCAACGGAGGGAGTGCGTGCGTCGCGGGTCATCGCGGGGTGGAGGTGCTCGTCGCGGGTCGCAAGGTGGGCGAGGTGGGAGCGGCGCCTGCGGATGAGAGGTAAGAGGACTGAAACCCTAAGTGCTCATTTTATACCAGTACCCGCTATGGGCCTCGCCCTGGGCCTATTGGGCCTCGGCCTTAACCGAGGCGGGCTTTATAGGATGCCCGCCACGGTAAATCGATTTAGTAAATAAAAAATACCCGCCGCGGTAAATCGTGGGATTTACCACAGTGGGCAAAAATTGGAGCCCGCCGCGGAGAGCGTTATCGCAACGCTGCGCAAATTTGTTTTTGTAGTAGTGTTTGGGCGTGGGCACCAAAATCCCCCCTCCAGCACCCATTCCTGTGGGCTCTACGACAAGCCCCGATATGACGGTTTTCGTCCATTTTCCTCGCGTCAAGCTCCGTCCCTCTCATCGCTCGCACCGCTTCTCTGCAAGCCCTCTCTCAATCTGATCCTGCAGTCGCTTGATCTGCCCCTCGGTCGCTCAATCTGCTCCTTGATGGCGCGTCCTCACCAGTCGTCCGCCTTCGCTGGTAGGATGTGCCACATGCTCAATCCAGCCTCCATTCATCATGGCTCCATCTAGCAAAGCCTCTCTCCCCACAGTGATTCCTTCATTCAGCCCCCATGTGTGGACTCCCTCCCACACGCAGCGCGCCACTACTACACAAAATTTAACCGAGGCGGGCAAAAATGCTTAACCGAGGTGGTTTTTGCAACCGCCTCGGACGAAAGGTCACGGTTAATGGGACCTTTTCCGAGGCGGTTCGATGCCCGCCTCGGTAAATTGAATAAATGAACCAAAAAAGCCCAGAGGGCCTGGATCTGGGCCTTGCTCTGCCGCCCCTGCGCGCCGCTGCCGCCGAGGGAGTCGTGACCCGCCACTCTCCATGTCCGCATTCGCGCCTGCGCCCACGTCCGCGTTGACAGCTCGCCTCGCGCCCACAGCCGGTGCGCCCATGCCAGCATCCCCACCACGTAGATCCACCGCCGCTGCAGTAGATCCCCCGTGGGTGGGGACCGCCCAGCCCTGGTTCTGCGCCGCCACGCCCTCGATCTGCGCCGCCCCGCCCGGATCCGAGCCACCGGAGAAGCTTGAGGGAAAGGGAGGAGCTCCTCGCCCAGATCCACACCGCCGGAGGAGGAGACGGAGGAGCTCCTCGCCACGTCGTCGGAGGTGCTCTTGAGGGAGAGGGAGGGAGGATCGCCGCCGGGAGGGGAGGACCGTGGAGCTGCCTGCTGCTCGAGCGTGAGCGTCAACAAGGGAGGGAGGGAGAGAGAGAGTGGAGGGAGGGGAGGGGGCGCACCGCAGGGAGGGCAGCGCCGCTGAGCTACAAGAGAGAGGGAGAGTGGAGGGAGAGAGGCACACCATGCGACGAGGGAGAGAGGGAGCCACATCGTGTGACGAGGGAGGGAGGCGCGCCGCTGAGAGAGAGTGAGGGGCTGGGGGCGCTCCGGCGTGTTGGGACAGGAAACCCTAATGCGCATTTTATACCTGTCACGTCTATCAGGCCTCGATTAGGCCGTCTGGGCCTCGGCCTCTTTTTTTCGAGGCGGGCCACTTACAAGGCCCGCCTCCGAAAATGGAGGCATTTTTGGAGGCGGGCCACTTATAAGGCCCGCCTTGGTTAATAGATTTTAGAAGGCGTTTATCTTTTAACCGCCTCGGTAAATAGATTTTGCGAGGCGGTTGATGGTGACCGCCTCGGTTAATAAAAAATGACCGCCTCGGTTAATCCCAGACATTAACCAAGGCGGTTGAATTGCCTGCCGCCTCCGAGCCCCTTTTCCAAACACCTTGCAAAAGTTTTTTTGTAGCCCACGGCCGCCGCTCGTCCTAGGCTCCCTCTCACTCCCGCGCTTCTCCTTCGGTCACGAGAGCCTCACTCGTCCGGGGCTCCGTCGTCCCCGCGGTAGGACGAGGATCTGTCGGCAAATCTGCCGGTGGTAGGATGGACGAGGATCTGCCGGTTCCTCCCCGTGGCCGCTGCTAGGACGAGCGACCTCCCTGTGGCCGCCACTAGGATGAGCGAGGCGCGATAGGACGAGCGAGGTGCTCCTCTCTGCATTGAGGACGATAGCTTAGATGGTAGAACTTTGAGGATGACGAGCGGGTCCCGTTTGGAATTGTCTACATGAATGGGATTTGAGGACCAAGATTTAAGTGTTGCTATTGGATTGAAAGCAAAGAATTTGACCAACAAAAAAGTAGGGAGAGCACCGGAGCACCAAAATCAATAGTAGGGGCCATGATTTTAGTGCCCCTGCTGGAGTTGCTCGTTCCACAAAAAAATGAGCCATTTCATAGTTTATTAACCCAATTGGCCATTTTGCAATGAAGCACTGGCAGTATTCAAACGGAATCAACCAAACAGCTGCTTCAAATCGAGTAGATGCAGAAAATGTAGATTCTCGATTAGCACAACGACGGGCGTGCATGATTTGGTACAGATTGCCGGCGCGGCGATGTTCTTCGCTCCATCAAAGTTCCAAACTAAACACGAAACTAGCTGACTGGAAGCATATCGCAGAGTTTATTCTTGGTAAGTATATATGTTATCACCAGGTAGCTAGCTGTACCCCTGTACCAGTTAAATTATCCCGTCGATCTGCCAGTTTTCGTTGATCCAGTAGTTGTGCAGGCATTAATTTGTCTGAGCACGGAATCATATAGACGAATAATCATTTCAAGTGCAAACAATCAAACGCGTACTTTACACGAACCATTTGTTTGTTAACTTTTCGTTACAAATGGACACGACAAGAAGCAGATGACAACGTTGCCATGTCTATATAAGAAGGCTGATCTTACAAGCAGTAGTGTGTACAAGTTGTTGGAAGGCTAGCTGGATTAGCTGTGCTACGTAGTACTGGTCATCTAGCCTCTTCCTCACCATGGCTTCGACCATGCATCTGACACTTGTGCTTCTATGCCTGATGGGTCAAGCCGCGTCCTCCGATGGTCTGACGATTCAGATGTCTCGCCGTCGACGACAAGTTGCCGGTCGATCACTTCAGGTGCAACGCGCTGTATAATTAATCTACTTGGTCGCACTTGGATGCACGTGAACGTGACCAACTCCACACCGCACGAGGCACGACGCAGACACATATTTTACTACCTTCTGATACTTTTGGAGGACATACCAACGGCAACAAGCTGCCAGTCGTTCACCGGCTGAGCCCATGCTCTACTTCGTCAAGTACGTGCCGCTCCCAACTTCTACTTCGTCGACCTCGTTGACATCGCCATCAACGGCAAGGACCTTCCGTTCCCGCCAGCCTTGTTCAGGGGCAACGGGACGCTGATCGACTCGCAGGCGGCGTTCACCTACCTGAACCCGCCCATCTACGCTGCTCTCCGCGACGAGTTCAGGAAGGCGATGGCGCAGTACCCACCGGCGCCTGCGTTCAGAGATCTTGACACGTGCTACAACTTCACCTTGACCGATACCAGTAGAGAAACGACTTTGGATCCACTTCGAAATTTGGCTTTAGTCCCAGTATTTTTTACGCCCGGGACTAAAGAAAAGAAATCTTTAGTCCCGGTTGGTAGCTTCAATCGGGACTTAAGGTCCCTGCCCAACGACTACTGTGGCAGGCTTTTGCTGCAAGGGACCTTTAGTCCCAGTTGAAGCTACCAACCGGGACTAAAGGTTAACTTTTACTCTCGGTTGGTCCCTCCAACCGAGAGTAAAAGTCTACTCCCGGCTGAAGGCTCCGTCCGGGACTAGAAAGGGATCTTTAGTCCCGGTTGTTGTCTCTAATCGGGACTAAAGGTCCCCTCCTATATACCCCTTCTTCCTCCCCGAGCTCGAGCCACTTCGAGCTTAGTGTTCTTGCTTCATCGCTGGCCTCTCTTCTTCCTCATCGTCGGCCGGTAATCACAAGATTTCTTCGATTACTCCATCGATTCTTCAGTTCTAAATGTTACCAACTTTATACTCTCATGTTTCATCAGTAGCGTATCTTATTTTGTGGACTAGATATATGTGGTTTTTTATGGTGGATTTTTTTTTATTTGTAAGTCATTTAAGCTTAAAATCACTTTAAAGTTTGTATATTTGGACGAAGGAAGGTTAAAGTAATTATTCAAAACTAGTATTCAGCTTTCATTTCTAGCATGCATAGCACACTTCATGGTTTAGAGATATAGAGAATTTTAGAGTTTTTTTAATTTTATTTGTTTATAAAATGAGAAATTTATATTATATTAAAAATGAGTATAGAGAGTAGATGGCAACTGCTTCCAGGTCCTCGGCCTCTCATCGGGTTCCAAAGCGACTGAGGCCAGACCCCCTCTCATTACATGCGGCAAGTGTGAGAAGAAGATTATGATGGAGTACCAGGTGAGGAAGGAGTGTCCCAACAAGGGCCGTATCTTCTACAAGTGTCCGGATCGCAATGTGAGTTATTTTGTCGTATTTGATGATTATGGTTAATTTATACTTATTTTCATAATGATTGTGATTAAAGTTCTAATTTTTTGTTTTAATTTCAGTGGGATGGCACTGGATGTTCAGGCCGGTACTGGGAGGAAGAGTATGTTGAACACGTGCAAAACTCTCTTGCACAGGCGGCTACGGCGGCTGATTAGGCAGTGATTCTGCGGAAGAAGCCCATAGATGTTGAACAAACGCATGATCTGTCTGTTTTAGTTGGAATTGTTTGTGAAATCCTTATGCTGTTGAAGTGCATTTTAGCTTTAGTTTTTTTAGTGGTAGTTGGGATTGTCTACATTGTAGTGAGACTTTCATAAATTAATACCTTGTGTGGTGGCATGCATGTCGTATAATTAACTAATTATGTTCTAGGTTTTAATATGGTATGTATGTCATGTAATGCAGATGAGCCGGTATTGGATGTACAATGCTGATCGCCGCTCCCAAGAGTTCATTGAGGGCGTGCATTCTTTCTTATGTGTGGCCGAGGCAAACAAACACGATGGTTTCATGTGCTGCCCATGTGCCATATGTAAGAATTTGAAAAAATATGCTAGCTCAAGGAGTTTTCATTCACACTTATTGAAGTCGCGTTTCATGCCAAACTATATTTGTTGGACGAAGCACGAAGAAACCGGGGTTGTAATGGAAGAAGGTAAAGAAGAACAATGGAACGATGATGACATTATTACTGAATATGGTGCATTCAATGATACTATGCACATTTTGTAAAAGCAATCTGGAAATGGTATAGGCCATATTCTTTGCAAAGATTTTCCGCGGCCCAGTTAGGTGTTTTTTTAGGAGTTTCAAGTAGTTTTTTTCGGCCTTCCAAAAGTCGAGCTAGCTGGGAGTGGTTGTAAACATTTATCTATTTTATTCTCTTTTTCCGCGTCTAACAAAAAATGATCTTTTGCTGTCCTTTTTCCAAAAAAATAAAGAATCTGCTACATTTTAGGTGTCCGAAATTTAGTTCTTTTATTAGATGACGGTTATTGCATATATTTTATACTAAAATTACAGTTTTAGTTTGTTACAATTTCTGTAGACTTGGTCTGCAATTTTTGGTTCCGACAATAAAAACCCGTTAGACACGATCACAAACTTGACAACATCTGATATGTATTGGTACAAAGATGATTTAATAATTTATAATTATTTCTATAGTCAGACAAAAACAAAAATTTGATAAGTTATGACACAAAGACAAATAACAAATTAAAAGTGATAATTTACTTGTACTAACTAGAGTACAAGAGTGCTACCTGAAATTATCTTAAAATTAAGGCACTTGCAATATAGGAGAAGTGAAAAAATAAAGGATAATAGCATTGTACCCGTCCAAATAATGAAATTGTATAACAATTATCACACAGAACAACTTCATATGATCACGTATACTTAAACATGCAAATCAAGGTTTTAAATCTCCGGTTATAGCCTCCGTTATCTCTGGCTATAGTTGTTTAAGAAGGATTTAGCTAAGGTTTTCTATGTATAAGTTAGCTCTTAGCTGCCGCTAGCTGGCTAGTCTATTTTCAGATATAGACAGCTAAATGGCTTAGTCGGCTATTTAAAATCTTGATGCAAACCAGAACTGTGAAGTCAAATGCAAGAAACTAGGAACGCGATACAGCAACTAGGACAACAAAGTACACGCGACAGTCAATGGAGCATCATCAACGCAGGCCACAACCGCTGGGAACAAAGGCAACCTTGCCACCGCGTACGTCGTAGACGATTTCCTTGGTCCGCTGCACCTGGGTTCCCATCAAGTTCCAGGGGAAATTCTCGTCGGGTGATGCCGCGAACTCGAGGCACCCGAAGGGGGCGCCGTCGGTGAGGTGCTCGCGGAAGAAGTACATGAACTGCCTATCGTCGAGGTCCATGGTCTCGCCGCGAATTTCAGGTTTCCGGTAGGCCTCAGATTAATTTTGGATCCTTGCACATTGCTTTAACTAACATGGAAACAAAACATATATCTCCGAGGACCATCTAAGTTGCTGATTGGCTAATCGACTGAGTAACTGAGACTACTATATTATACTTGATTGACGCTTCTATATTTACTACCCGGAATATACCAACTTTAAACAACGGCCGTTTCTTTTTTTCCATCGAAGAATACTTTGGTCAAATCAAAATTAACCGTTCATAAAATTTACATGCACAAGCAGTAAATAAGAATAATATAGAACTTCCTTACTCCTTAGGCTTCATGGCACTATTTTAGTATTTTACAGCTACTATACTAGGCGTCAATGTACTTGACGGTGACGTGCGGGGCGAGCTCCTCGAGGCGGAGCCGCTCGATGCTCATCGAGGAAGTCCTTTGTACACGGGGCCGATCGAACCGGCCCTTTGTCGATAAAGTGGCTGATGGAGATGCCCTGCGCCCCCGTGTGTGACGGCCTTGAGATTCACCAACGTGAAGGCGTGCAGACCCGAGACCGAGAGGTGTGGCCAGCGTCCGGAACAGGTCATCCAGCGACAGCAACAGTAGCCAAAGCGGGCAAAGGAAATCGCCGGCGAAAAAACTGCTTGTTTTGCCGGCAGACATGCTTGTGCCGGACGAGTTTCCGACTTGGCCGTGCCTGATCGGGTTGTCGGGTGGTTTGGAATTAGATTGTAATTACAAAATCTACTACGTCTAAAAAGAATAATGTGTGGACATTTTTTATGCGATATTTGTTTTGGTTCGTCCGTCTGCCCACGTCTGCGATCCCACGACATCTTAATTACTGATTGATCGTACAATTCTCCTTGATTGAATATTGTCTGTCATGTGATAGAGGAAACACGGCAAAATAGGAGGTAGAAAATTATTGTGCTATCCATATACACATAGTATGTTTGCATGCACCAGTATACATGGCAACGAGCAAAAGAAAAGAGAATTAACACAGAAGGAAAGAGAATTAAGACAAAAGGAACATCTTTGTATTTCTGAGAACCTTACCAAATCTGCCTACATTTAATTACTTCCCCTCTTTGCATTTGCAAAAGGGACAACTTTTTTCTCCTTTCATTTGATTTCACGCTCACGTGTTCCATCGCCCTCGCTTGCTGTTTCTTGCGTGAACCATAATTGATGTCATCTGTCTTTCATGGCTCAGCCTCCCAATCCCAAGAGAAGGTCCCTACCTCTTCCTCACTAGAGATCCGGCCTACCAGAGGATCTCCTCAAGTCCATTGGGCAGCGTCTCGCGTCAGGCCACGACACGGCGTCCTTCCGATCCGCTTGCTCCCCATGGCGCGCCGCCGTCCCGTTCGCGACCTTCGGGCCGCTCCTGCTGCTCCCGTTCGACCCCGACTCGGACCGCGTCGGCTTCTACTACGTCCCGGAGAAGGTCTTGTCCAAGACGCTGCCTGACGTGCGCGGCAAGGTGGCGTGCGGCTCCTCGTGTGGGTGGCTGGCGCTCATGGACGAGGCGGCGTCCGTGACGCTGCTGACTCCATTCGACGGTGCCCGTGCCCCCCGCGTTGAGCTCCCGCCAGCAGGCGAACGCGTCGCAGCGGCGTCCTCATCGGAACGCGTGTCTAGGGTCCACGGCCGGTGGGTCCTCCATCCCATCGACGGCTACGGGAACACAGATGCCGCAGACAGAGTCATAAAGCTAGAAGACATGAGGGACGTGTTCTTCGTGAGATCGTGCTCTCGGCGCGGCCTGACGCCCCCGGCCGCCACTACAAGACATGTGTGGTTTTTTGACATTCTATTTATGTCAAAACATATAGAATTATTGTCACAACTTAAGATGACTTTAAGTTGACAAAAATTCAAACGTAAAAAAACCAACGTCACAAAGTGATCATATAACGTTTCTATATTTATTGTCACAAGCTTATGATATTGCTTGATTGTCACAAAATTCTAGGCCTTGCCACATGGCAGCTGACATGGCAGAAAAAAATGTCACAAAATTAGATTTAGCCTGCTAAAGCCCACGTAGCTTAGGGGCCACAAACATTTTTTGGGCCGTTGCTAGCTGGCCCATTATTCATTTTCGTTTTTTATATTTTTTAGGATTGCAGCCCATACAATTTTCAACCCACACAATTGAGCCCATAAATTTTTTTCAGCCCAAACATTTTTTTGCAGCCCACATTTTTTTCAGCCCACAAATCACATGTTGGCCCAGCACACTTTACATTACTGAAGTCCGAGATCAATATAATAAATCAATAATGCAAATACACATAATTTACATATCCAGTGGCATTTTAACAATGATCAAAACTAAAATTACAAAAACTGATATGAACCCGCTAGGGTGAATCCCAATCTTTCGATGAGAGAAGGTGGATAACTCGATTTGGGGATGGAGATGACGTTCACGGCCCGACTACAGCCTTCCAAGCTGCGCCTTAGCAACCGATACACCACCTCCAATGGCCGTCGCAATCTTGTGGAGCACGATCAACCAAACCACTAGGGTAATTCCTGCAAGCAATCGAGGAACAAGCAAGAACAAGTAGAACAAGCAACTCAATTGCAAATATGGAGATGAAAAACCAATCTGAACTCATAAAGTTGGGGTTCTGAATCAAGTAGAACGGATGGTCTAGTCGACACACGCGTCTACAAGGAAGTAGCAATGGCTAAACTTTCAACAAACAAAACCCAATCTGTTTGTGGCGGCTCTAATCCTTATTAATACATAGGGGAACGACCAGGGGGGTGTTGGGGTCGTTCTCCAACCCTAGGACGCGTCCCTAATGGACCCAACTTGATACATGGGTCATCGGCCCAAAATAGGGTGACGTAGCACCAAAGGCAGAAAAGGTCCTGGCGTTGAAACAACTACTGCAGAAGCATCGGATAAGATATGGCCATGAGTCCAGATCCGTTGGAAAATAGACTTGATAAGCTTTCCAAAAAGTGCTAGAACGTCCCAATCGGAGTCCGTATGAAGTCGTGGCGACCGTCGCAATTTGGGACTATTTTGCAGTCCGAATTCAACTTCCAAAACGTGTTGTACTTGGACTCTTTCGTCCTTGGAACCAAAGCAACGTGGTGGCCTAGTGGAGGATGTTAGGAATACTTGGATTTGGTCCCCAATCAACTTCATTAACCTTCCATGCTTTCCATATGCAATCAAACCTTCCCTTTATCCATGTAAGTAATTCTGAAAATGAGAATGAACACACATCATGGTGCAAGCATCAATTCATCAAATGTATCAAATACAATCATGATAAAGAATTGTTTCACCTGTGAATCAAAAGTTGCCAATGTGGTTATATCCGAGCAGGTGATGTCCTCATCATTCTCCCTTCTTGCACTGCAAGTCGTCCTCGACTTGCTCCAATGGTATTCAAAGGTGCTTGCTTTGATGTTGGAGCATGGAGCGACGACTATCTTTGCATGGCCACAACCAACAATGCTCCCCTTCTTTGGCCTTACCTTGTTGCATATCGAAAAACTAGGAAAACTTTGCAAGACATTATTAGTGTTAGTGCAGCCCCCTATTTGATCATGGTATTGTAGCCCAAAAGGATAATTCATCTTAGAGCAAATATAAACTTTATACACCAAATATTCTCCTTTGCGGTCATATTTGCCAATTGCATGAAGCGAACAATGATTAAAACTTGGCAAACCAGAATCAAATTTAAGTTTCTCTTTTAGACAATTTAGATTACACAGAATATCAAATTCAATATAACCCAAAGTATTTAAAGAGGATAGCAAATTCAGTTCATCTTGTGCACATGTAATAGGATGAAAAAGCTTATCTTGAAGATATTTGTATGGTTCCAAACCAAAAGTATCACACTTATTCGTTACTTGTGGCATAGGAGTAAAAGAATCATCAACACACAACTCCTCTTTATCACAAGGAACAGCAAGTAATCCATTTTGTGACAAAGGAAAATCAACGATGGGTTCCACTATTTGTTGCTCTTCATTAGCATGCAGAATGGACAAATTTTGGACATTATGGGTCACATCATTCTTGCAAGTATTCACAGATAATAGGATCTCCTTTTCAGCATTGAGAGCAAGACAAAACAATTGACCAATATGGCTATAAGAATTGCTAATTAACAAGGTTTGAATTTCAGAATTGAACCCTCTCATGAACCTACTCATAACATCTTCCATGCATTCATCTAATCCACCAAACATGATGCAAATCTTAAAATCATGGTAGTATGCTTTTACAGTCCTACTATCTTGCTTCAAGTTGTCTAATTTTGCAAGCAAATAATCAGCATAATATGCACGAGAACGAATGCATCTCTAAAAAGAAATTTGAAGTCTTCCCAAGATTCTCGGAACTTTGTTGTGCCTACAAATATGTTTCCATTCTAGTAAAGCATATTCAATCAAAACATTAGAGGCAATACAAATCTTTTGTTTCTCGGACAGTCATGCTCGTCAAATTCATTGTCTACTTTTAACTCCCAATCAATGTAAGCTTGAGGATCAAACTTACCATCATATAACGGCAAGTGTTGAATGACATCCCGAATATGAGGGTCTAGTTTCAACAGCTCAAAATTTCCGTATCACCTGTCATGATTAGTAGAAAACAAGAAACACAAAAATAATATGTATAAATCACTGTCAACTACTAGGATGTGTCGGTTGTAATTCTCTCAAACTCAACTTGTTTAAAACAAGCTCTTACAAGTTCTTACCAAGACAACAGGAGGTGACGGCAACCAACAAGTCTGCAAACGTGGAGCGAAGTGTATCGGTGCATGACAACAAAAAACCTCTCAAGTTTGTAGTCGAATATGTGGAGCTGTAGGTGGGCTAAAGAAAAGAAGTACTAGAACCACGTTAGTTGCAAGCAAATTGAACAAACGCTCAACGACGTTATTATCTTTGGTCCTAGGCTAGTACGTGCTAGAGACGCGAGCACAGACACAAACGAAG